TAGCCACTACTGGTAGCCACTACTGGTAGCCACTACTGGTAGCCACTACTGGTAGTCACTACCGGGAACTTTTCTACCTGGGTTTTAATAACTCCTTTATTTCAATATTTTAAAAATATGCATAAAAGGCTTGAAAGTATATGAATTAATATATTTCATCTACTATCTTTATAGACTTAACTGATTTTTTAAAAGATTAAGGCTTACATTAAATTTTATTTGTTAAAGTTTTCTTTACACAACAGTTGGTGAAAATTTGTAAAATAACCATATGTAGCCATTTTACTCAACTTTTTGAGTAAATTTTATGCAAATCGTTTTCTCTGAGTATAATTAAATTTTACTTCTTGATTATATCTTTTTATTAATAATTTTTTTTACAAAAATCACATTAATTACGCTCTAGCTATCCATATCTCCTTTTTCGATCTGTTTTGATTAAATTAAAAGTAATTAATATAAAATTATCTTTTTATTAACCTCTAGAGGGCTGGGGTGGCCACTATAGTGGCCAGTTCCGGTATCAGGTTTTTTCTACCTTATATTGACTTCATAAGTAGTCAAATTTTCAGTTTATAACATGGTGATTTTCAATTAAAAAATGCCGGCCCTCTAAAGGTTAAATAGACAGGTCTACAAAATAAGATTTTTTTTAGATGTGGGAATGGTTTCCAATGTATTTTTGTGTGCTGAGCACGATCCCGGGATCCAAAATTGTGTATCATGTCAGAATTTTGAGTAAAAGTAAGGGTGAAATCTCCAAAAACAGTGTTTTTGAGAGTTATCATTATTTTTTTCTACTTAACCTGAGGTGCTAGGCACTTATTATATAGGCTTAAATTAAAGCTTAGATCGTACACTTTAAAACCTGCCCGTGGAGAAGTTTCCCTAAGTTTCCTTATCGAAAACTGAAATTTGATAAGTTTCTGATAGGGAAAAATGCAGAATTTTGGTTAGGTCCTGACGTTTTTCGTGACGCTTGTTTTTCTCAAAAATTAGTTTTAATGGTTAATAGCGAGAAGAATAACAAAAACCCTACGATTGCCCTTTGAGAACTTTCAATTTAACTTTTATTTAACTTTCAATTTTTGATTAATTATAATGTCAGGTTATATTACTACATTATTCTTTATAAAAAATATAATTAAACTGTAAAAAGAAAAGTTGTAGTTTATATAATTCATTAGAAAATATAATGAATTTAAATTATTAAGAATGTGAAAATAATTTTAAATATGTAGCAATCAATTCGAAGATATTAAAAATAAAAATGTCTTATTTACTGGTAAAATCTCCTTGAACTTTGAGAAATTATTTTGTATGATGTTTTTGTAATACAAAAATTATTTTATTAAACGTTAATATATTACCATATATTAACTATTTAAAATATTTTAATCCCAAAAATACAATTTTTAAAAAAAAATTATTAATATACTCTGGCACATGATAACAAAACCTTTTACTATTTTTGAGTTGTCAAAATCTGCGCAGAATATATTTATATGTGAAATCACAAAAACAAACAGAAAATGTTTTCACGACAAAAATTGATTTTAATTAATCATATTATTCTATTTGCTGCTCTTTTTTTAAGGCCTACCCTTATAATGTTATTTTTGTTCCTTAATAAATATATATGACAGTCATAATTTTATAAATAAAAATAAATATATATCAAAAAAACATTAAGGTGAGATTTTAAATATTTTCTTGACAAAAACAATAAAATATTTTGTTTATAATTTTCTCTTTTACAAATTATTGATCGAAAAATTAAGTAAAATAGTTTTTATGCAAAAATATGTAAACATTTAAATAGAAAAATATTTGTTCTTCTAAATCGTTGATCAGAAAAGTTGTGAACCTCACTAAAGTAATTTATTAATTATTAGACTAACTATTTTATTTCAGCACATGCACAAAATAACAATATTCCTGGTAGCACAATATAAAAATCTTAATTGTAAGTTTCGTGTTAACATGATACTGGTGCAAATTTTCTACTATTTATAATAAATAAAATAACCTTAAATTATCATTCAATAAAAATGATAGTAAGTTGAAAGTAATCGAAAGACGGTCGTAGGGTTCTTGTAGGGTTCTCACTATTGGGTACTATGAATCATTTTTATAAAAAATCAAGCGTCACAAGAAACCTCTGGGCCTAATCAGAAATCTGCATTTTTCCACATCAGAATCATACAAGTAATAGGGAAATATTACAAGGCCCTTACGATTTCCCTATTTAAGTTTCTCCTCGGGTGTATACGCAAGATTAAAAAAACATTTTGAAATTTTAAAAAAATGGGGGTAAATACCACAAAAACCGTATTTTTAAGGTAAGTGTTTTCAGTACATATTTTTGTCTCACTAACCTGACGTTCTAGAGACTTCTATATAGCCTTAAATTGGCGGAGGATTTTCTAGTACATGTTCAAGTAATGTTCTTAAACAAGTTCAGCATCTGGAATTGAGACATGTTCTTGTACCAGAACTCGTACAAGATCCTGGACAAGAAAATGTACATGTTCTTGTACATATTTTTTGTGCAGGTTTCATGTACAAGTACTTTTACATGAACACGTTTATGTTCTTGTACAAGAACATTTGTTTAAAAATGTTTTTAAAAAAACTTTAAATTGTAATAAGTTATAGTTATTAAGACTCTTCACTTATGCATGCTAAAAATTATTGCGCAGCTGTAAAGGCTTAAGAAAACTACTGGGCAGCCTTTAAAGTTTTTAATTTTTAATTTAAAAATCATAAATGAACATGTACAAGAACATGTTCCACATCTGGTACAAGAAAATGTACATGAAACCTGCACAAAAAAATATGTATAAGAACATGTACATTTTCTTGTACAAGTATAGTTTCTTGTCCAGGATCTTGTACAAGTTCTGGTACAAAAACATGCTCTCTAAATATGAATCAGTCATATTTCACTGATTAGCAGTAGAAATCTACTAATTGCCATAGCGAAAATTGAGCAACTGATAATTAGTAGAAATTTACTGATTCAATTTTGAAATATAAATTACTGATTGAATCAGTAATATAAATATATGGCAGCGGCCGCAAAATCTACTGATTTAATAGTTAATTTCAAAGGTTATGTTATATACAAATTACTGTTTTAAATAAGTTATTTTCTATTGCTTGTATATTCACTAATTATATTAGTAAATTTCAAAAAATAACTGAAACTCCAGTTAAAATGAAAAGTACTGATTGAATTAGTAAAATTTCTACTGATTCAGATTTAGAAAGTGTCTCAATTCCAGATGCTGAACTCGTTTAAGAACATTACTTGAACATGAACAAGAAAATATACAAGTTCATTAATGAACATGTACAAGAACTTGTACATTTTCTTGTACAAATTTTTTCAGCCGTGATATCTGACCTAAAATTTGTTACATGTAATTTGCGCAGGGAAAATTTTTAAAATACTTTAATCTAACCTGTAAACTGCGTCAGGGTACACTGAAAGAAATACTATATTCGTCGTAACTATACGATTATGCTTGTCGAGTTGTTTTTAAATGTGAAATATAATTTACTATTTCTAGGCTTATATATTGTAGTTTCGGGACACTTAAATAAGAGAAACATGAAAGCCATCACTCTAGCAGAAATAATATATAGCAGTTTTACAAATACTTTGTCACCCATTATTGTATGGCTTTAACACCGATGCCGTGTGGCAGTATCTATATTAGCAATATATTATTGTTTGTCTACCGATAATTATCGCTGTACCTAAATTTCTTTCAGTGTAAAATCTTTCCGTTTTTAAACTGACCTGTAAATTACGCATGACCTTTTTTGAGAGACTTGCGTTGTCAAAATTAAAAAATTTAAATAAATTCTCCTATCATTATATAAAAAAAGCCTTGCGTTGCACAAGAAATATAAAAAGTGTCACTTAGAACAATAAATATTAATTTTTCAACTGTGAAATTATTCTCCACGTAGCCACTAGTAGTAACTGATTCAATGTTAAAATAATTTATCGACTTTTCACCGAATATTAGTTGAAGTTCATAAATATCATTAATACCTCTATATCTGTATTGCCTAAGTTTATTTAAAAATTAATTTAGTGCAATAACGATTTGAAAAATAATTCGAACTTTCTTAAAAATTTCTCCTGAACGCAAGTGACAACCGCGGCGCAATTTACAGGTTGGATTAAAAAAGGCAAGAATTTACCTCGGCGCAATTTACATGTTAGATTATACACATCCGATAAAAGTAGGTAAAATTCGGGTAGATCCGGCGCAGTTTACATACGGCCACTTAAATTAAAGTTTAAAACACACATTTTTAGACCCGTATGCGCAGAATAAAAAAAATTTTACAATTTTGAAAAAAGAGGGTAATCTTTTTAGGTGGCTTGAACCTAATTTTTTTTTAATCTTGCGCATATTTGTCTTATAGTGTGTGATATAAGATTTAATTTAAGGCTATAAAGAAGTCTTTATCACGTCAGATTAAGGGGAAAAAAATACTAAAAACCCTCAAAAAAAAGTTTTTAGAGACTTTACTCCCACTTTACTCAAAATCCTAACGTGATACGCAATTTTGGAACTCGAAATCGTGTCCAGGACACAAAAATACATTGGAAACCACTATGATATCTCAAAAAAAACAAATTTTGTAGGCCTGTGATATTAAAAGACTCTTTCAGACATACAATACTTTCTTTCTTTCAATGAAAAAATTATGTTACAATATTGGTATAAAATTATGATTAAGTTACATGAAACTTTCAATTAATTAAGTAATACAATAATGATTCGCACATTTTAGAAAGTTTCTTTACATTTTTATTTAAAATAATATATATTTATACGAAATATTTCAAAGTCGGTATAAATAAATAAGTTATCACGCATTTATTTTTATTTATTTATTATTTATTCATTTATAGATCCTAGTATTATTGTAATTTGAAAGTAAAAAAAAATTCATTAAAAAATTAAAGCTAAGAAAAAAGATGATACTGAATAAAAATAATAATAAAATGATTATTAATCCTAATAAATTATTGTAATTTTTAATTTTACTATAATTTCATGTCGAATAATATACTTAATGTTTTATAATGTACATATAAACTTTGTTCTACGTTTCAATTTTATTGAATTCTAATACTGTTAAAATAATTAATTTAATGTTGAGATAAACAATTATTGTTCGTTGATGGTGACGTATTTCCACTGATACTTTGGACAATCATACTCAGACAATCGAGGCTACTTCCGTTGTTTTGAGATTGTTGTGATTCCCCATTATCGTATCCTGAAACAAGACAAAAATATTATTTGCAAATTTTAATTAATTTTTTTTAAATTCATATTTATACTATAAATTTGTCGATAAATTACAATTCATAAAGATTTTATGGCATATTAAACATAATACCGCAATTTCCCAAAAATTTAATTGCCAATTTTCAAAAGATTTATTTGTGAACCCGTGTAAGATTGAAATAAATAAATAAAATGTAATCTACAGAGACACGTGGAGGTTGCAGGCGCAGATTAAGATTAAAAAGCAATGCCTCATTAAAATTCAAAATATTAAGAAAGTTCGCAGGCGCAAATATTGTACTGGGCAGGTTTGCCAAAGATAACAAACTCTCAAAGCTTTGAAAATTAAACAAGAAAGGAAGAAAAGAAAAATAAAAAACTAAACAGTTGAATTATTTGAAGCATTCTTAAATAATTTAAAACTTCATTATATATATTCTTTTAAATTTATTAAATTTCTTATGTGAAATTTTTTCTTAATTAGCACATTTTCCTCAAATTATAAAATATTTTATAAAATTTATTAATACCAGAGAACAAATGAAAAGAAATAAGTAAAGATAATTTACTAATTGGTGACAACTGATTATAATGAGGGCAAAAAATATTTTAAAAAATAATTTTTCCATATTATACTGGAATGTGAGATTTCTGAAAGATGAATTTTTCAACTCATAAAGTTCTCTCAACTTTTATAATCCTAATAAATAGAGCAATCACACATATTATTAAAACTTTTCCAACTGTAAAGACCCGTGTATAAAAATCTTCTGGAACGTCTATAGTCAAGCCTGGCGCAATCTAGAAAAAAGTCTAGCATCGCTAGTCTGGAAGGTCTTGCTTGGCGTTGCTGGTCTGGAAAGTGTAGTCAGAGCCAGATCTGGTGCTAGACAGAAGATCTAGATAACTCAAATTTTTTATTTGTTGACATGGCAATATAATTGAGATCAGTCGGATTTTTTAATTTTTTAAAATTTAATTTAAGCTTACATTTTATTTACTATTTTAAGAAAGAAAATTTTATATTAAACAATTCAATTGCAAAATTATTAAAAACAATAATAAAAAAATAATCCTAACTTTTTATAGTGAAAAAAGTATAACTATTATTAAATAGTTAAATTAAGTATAATATATAATGTAAATAATAGTATATTGCTTAACATGGGGAAGACAGACCCATTTACGGAGAGGGCAAATGTTTTTAGCACGAGTCGAGCACTGACATGAACGAAGCCGTAGCCCAAGCGCCGAAGGCTCCGAGGATGAAGGCTGAGTGATTCGCAGTGCTCGTCAAGTGCTAAAAATTCAGTCCTCTCCGTAAATCGGTCCTTCCCCATGTCATGCAACATATTTTTTATCACGAATGCACGATTTCGACAGTTTTGTGCCCCATCCAGCGAGTTTAAACTTCAGGTTTTTGAGTCAGTACCAATGACATCCCGATTAGTATATCTAGCAGACATGCAGGTACTGTCTCACAACGAAAGACTGAAAAGTGTGTGTAAATGATTTGTTTCATGTGTGTGACGTCACGTTTTTACTCCCTAGAGTGTAAATTTTTAAATTAAACGCACCCGCGCACGCCGCTCGAAAAGCTGGAGTTTAAGCTCGCTCGGTGGGGCGTAAAACTGACTAAATCGTGCATGTGTGATGAAAAGATTTTTACAATTGTTCAGGTCTTAGTTTAGGTATAGGGTCGTAGGTTCGATCCCCATGGGTGGTAAATTTTTAATTTAATTTTTTAAATTTAATGTTAGACGTGTAAGTGTACTTATTTAATAAGAATTGTGGATAATATTAATTTTTATTGTATGCGCAATTTTTTTAAGTTCAGAAATATAACGAATTGTTGTTTAAATGATCATTTATAAAAACCATTCCTCCACTATTAATTTATTACTTATAAAGTTTGATGCTTTAGCACTTTTCCTCTTTTTAGGGCTCCATACCAGAAGGGGAAAGCCTATTAATGAGACTAGTGAATTTTTTTAAGTTTTTTTGAAATACATCTAATTTCAATGACATAAAAGTATTGAATTTAGGAATTATGACCAAGATACAAAAAAGTTTCAGTTTTTCATCGACTTTTAAAATATGTTAACGAAAAAAAAAAATTTTAATTTGTTTATAAAAACAGCGAAAATCGCGCCTAAATTTAAAAAAATTTAATTTGTTTATAAAAAATCGCTGTTTTTTATAAACAAATTCAAATTTTTTTTTCGTTAACATTAGCGTGGTCAAGGACATAGAGATCTCAAATTTGGTACACTTACGTATTTTTACGTAAAAATTACAGAAAATGTATGGCGAACATGATTTGGATTGATTTACATAGAGTTGTCAAGGAAAAATAAAAAATTTTGAAAAAAATGGTTTAATCTCTCTAGCGCACACACTATTTGACCAAGACAGTTCATATTTTATTTTTTTACATGTATTTTCACATGTAGATTATAGGAAAAATATATCGAGCACGATTGAAGTTGATGATCTCAAGGAAAACTAATATGGTAAAAGCACCAGTACCTGGACGCTATTGAAGGGGTCTCAAATTTATTTGTGTTTTGTACTAAGATAATTCAATATAATTGATAAAATGTTTGTATTTTCGTTTTATTTACCTTTAAAAATACTAATTAGACAAAATTAATAATAATAGATGTTTTAATTAAATTAAAATCATGAAATAACGAAATTACACATTTGCAGCTGAAGTTGGACATGGTATTTCGAAAGCTGTAGTAGTTAGACATGATAAGACCCAGAAGTTGGACATTAAATAAGTAATTATTTTGATTATTTAATAAATTAAATAATTTAACTAAATTGTAATTATATTAATTGATTGAGTTAATTGAATTAAATCTTTGTCCAACTATTGGGTACAAAATATAAATCGGTAGGTTAACTTGGACAGTCAGTTCAGACAGAATTGGACAGCGATTTTAGAGAAATTGTTTTTTATATTTTTTTTACTCCTACAATTAATAAATTTTATTTTGCCTGAAAGCTAATTATCTAAAGAGTATCTCAAATTTTTTTGATTTTAAATTATCGTAACTCTCCATGAAATTTTAAAATATTTGATGAGAAGCGGGGCAGAAGACAGGGCCTCATTCTTGGGTCGTATGTGTCGTCGTATTTGTCGAAGTATGTGTTGAATTTTGTATTGTGGCCACAAAGTGTGTAAAAGATACAATTTGACATTATATATCAAAAGTGTGTGGAAAATTAGAATTTGATATCATAAATCACAAAGGGAAAATTGATATAAATATAAATTTTTAATATGTCGACGAAAAATGTAAGTAGGTTTCTCATAATAAATTTAAAGTATAAAAAGACGCTCATTGTTTCTGGGTTCACCCAACATCACCCCCTCTGGAATTCAATTAAATTTAATCTATATTAATAATTAAAGTAATAAATTAAATTTTATCTTTAATAAATAAATTTGTTGACCTTCTGTCGACTGACGCCTAACAAACCTTAAAGCCAAACTTTGACCCACACAGCTTTGAACCCGGCCGCGTGTGGTGTGGAATTTTGTAATTTGATATTTTCAATAATAAATAAAATTCCTGTTTCACCATCTACTGGTTCCATTTTTTGCTTTGTCCAGGTACTGGTGCTTTTACCTTAATATTGGAAAAAATACTACGTGCTTACGTGCTATCTGGGTAGGGGAGGATGGGGCAAGGATAGTTAGTGGCTCTATTCCTTACACGGCTTGTTCAAAAAGGGCACCATTCATCATATATACTTGTTTTAACACCAAAAGACGTCAAGAAAAATTTGATCTTGATGCGATATCATTTGTGGAAGCTACGTGTTTATTTGTGAAAATCCTGTTTTTTCTAAAATGTCTCAGTTCTGTTTAAAACACTGTTTCAGATATTAACTGTTTTAAATATTTATTTATGTCCAAAAAATTTTTTTGGTAGTGCTTTGAGGTGCTTTTATCCAATGAAATTAAAAAACCCCAAATTTAATGTCTTTTTTTAATTATTTTTCGTAAAAAGAATTTTGATAACTATCCTTGCCCCAATAGTGGGGCAAGGATAGTTAAATTTTTTTTTTAATTTTCCGCTAATATCTCGAAGGCATTGCAATCCACAGCAAAATAATATATTACAAAATTGTAGCTAAATAAACAGGCTTTCGAACGATACTATTCTTTTTCCGATGCCTATTGAATTTTAGCTGCTAGATCTAAAAATGTTTTACCTAACTATCCTTACCCCATCCTCCCCTATACTTGTCAAATTAACAAACTAAACAAACATTCTGTCATTTTGATATTATTGCCAAAAAAAATTAGAATATTAATAAATTTGTTAACTATTCAAATAAAATCAGTAAATATGATTTAAGCTACAAATTTTTTTTTAATTTTAAATTTGGTAGGTCTGACATAAAATTAATTTCAGTGATTTAAAAAAAACCTCCAAGTCAGTCTGATTCTATAAAAATTTATCTTCTGGTTCACCCAGGAGTACTAAATTATGATTTTCTTTTTTATTTTACAGGAAAAAAGAGATTTACTCAAAAATTCTCGAAAGAGTATATAAGATCTTTCAATACTTGACAGGAAGACATTTATGCCTTTGGACTGGAGCACTTATAGTATAAGCTCTGTTAGACATTCCTGCAGCTTAAAGAAAAGAAAAACTATACTGACCTATATGTATGAGAAAAAGAGATTTCAGAAATTTAAGAGGAAAAGAGAAATTGTTGAGAAAAGGTGAGGGGTAAGAAGATGAAAAAGGGCTAAAGGGGGTGTGAAACTATTAATATTAAAAGATGAGAAATGTGCCAACAAATGCCAGCCTCAAGGAAGGTGGGTTAGATATGCGAGTGAAAAACTTTCACTTGAAAAGATCGTTTATGCTACTTACTAATGACAATATTATATATCCTAATTCGGAAAGCAATTTCTTCATTGGAAAGTTTCCATTGTTTATTATAAAACTTTAATTTGACTTT